AGAAAAGTTTGTCATTAAACACATAGGCACTGAGTTAATGATCGCAGACATATTTACAAAAGCGTTACCTCCTATTACGTTTATGAAGCATGCTGAAAGTATGGGTTTGGAGGATAACACTTGATTATGTAGTCTGTTTATGTCTTAAATTTATGTTTGACATGTATAAGAGCTCTCTTATGGCTTTTACATCTTCTATATATTCTGTTTCCAACGTGCGCACACATTATTGTTTGTTGGATTTATTGATAACAGAATACGTCTATATATATAGACATAAAAGAGACCATTAAAGATAACTCCTACTTATGAAATAATGTTTATGGTCTAGCTATGAAAGTAGTCAATGCAGTAGTGCATGGAAGGAATCATGTTGCAAAATGATGTGTGACCGCCATGACTCTCATTGATTACAAGATTAGCCAAGACACTTATGAAAGACCAGATCAATAAATATAACATATTATGCCGGCCTTATGATTCCCAAATAAAAACATTAAGTCTAACGACCAAGTGGGAGAATGTAAGAAATTTATTTATTCTTACCCATGTATGTGGTCTTATAGTTAATTGGTCTCTTATTTGGGATTGTTATATTTTTATAAAATTTTGGTAACCAATAAAATTGGTTATTCAGGAGTTAATTCCTAAATGAATTTAAAGAACAATAAGAGGACAAGTGTTTATAAGAGAGACAAGTGTTAAGTTGCATGTCATGTTTGGTTCATCAATGGACAAGTGTTAAGACACATGTCACTCTTATGTTAAGAGAACCATGCAAAAGAACACTTGTTAAGTTGCATGTCATGTTTGGTTCATAAATGGACAAGTGTTAAGACACATGTCACTCTTATGTTAAGAGAACCATGCAAAAGAACACTTGTCCTCACACTTGTCACCATTGCCTTGATCTCTACTTTGATGGATGGTTGAGATTAAATTAGAAGGCAAAACCCTAATGAGGAATGAGGTCCTCTCCCCACCTATAAATAGATGACTTGCTCCATCAAAAATCATCATGAACAAAAACAACACTTAAAGGAAAGGGTTTATAGGAGAGGGGAGAGAAACTTTATTTTCCACTTAAAAGATTTAAGAGTTTCTTTTCAAAGCTACAAGCCATTAATCAAGAAAGCTTCAAAGGAAAAACTAAAGAAGGCTTCAAGAAACCATTAAAGAAAGCATCATTTCTACAATGAGTGGAGGTATTACTTTAACCCTCTTTATGTTTCTATTATGTGATTAATATAGATGTTTAAGATCTTAGGGTTCATGTTAAAGTATATTTAACATGCTTTCCAAATATGTGGCAGAGACAAGCGCTAGGAATCAACAAACCCATGGACGAGATTGGTCTGTTGAAGGTGACATGTCATGATCAACCAAATCCACACGTTGAAAGCATATGTTAGAATTCTTTTGTGCGATCTAAACTGTTTTAATCCTAAAACAGAGAATGTGTTTTGCCACAGGTTTTAATCTTCAGCACGTAAGAGACGTAGAGAACATCACCAGACCTCTTCGATAGCCTGATTTTGATTGATATCTTAAATTATCCTCCATCCATGAATGCATTTTAGACATGCATGCATACATTCACATGTGCATACATACATACATCCATTCTTGCATACATTCACATGTGCATACATACATACATCCATTCTTGCATACATTCACATGTGCATACATACATACATACATGCATCCATTCATGCATACATACATTCACATGTGCATGCATACATATATATACATTCATGCATATTTTCTTTCTTGATGCATACATACACTGCTTGCTTCTTTACTTGCATTGTCAACGTGTTTACTTGCTTTCTTCGTCGCTTCTTTTGATGGCTCTGTTAATTACTTGATGTGTGATTGTGTCTTCTCTATTTGCTTGTTTGCTTGTTTTGTTGCTCGTTAATTACTTGATGTGTGATTGTGTCTACTCTATTTGGTGTTTATTCTTTTGGTCTTTGCTTTATGTATTGCTTAACTTGTTTGCTTCCACCTTTGATTCTTTGATATTTTGTTTACTTACTCTGATCCTTCATTGTTTGCTCACACCATACATGCTCCACTTGTTTTTTTTTTGTTTATATATATCTTCTTTGTTTGTTTGATCTTTGCTTGCTCAATTGATTCAAATATTGCTTAATTTTTTGCTTCTTTGATTCTTTGATTCTTTGATCCTTTACTTTTTTTGTCAGTGCTTACTTACATGATTTTACTTCTCTACGTGTTCCATTATTTGTTCAAGTTCAATTTGTTTTTTTTTTTCCTTCTTTTGGAATTTTTGAAAAATTCTTTTTATTTATTTGCTTCTTTACTTTTTGATTTCGTTCATTGGTTCTTTCTCTACATGTTTTATTGGGTCCATGATTCACTTGATTCGCTCACTAACTAAACAACCCAAATATGATTTTTAAAATTGTTTTACAATAATTAATAATTGATTATGAATTATATGCATGTGACACATCGTATCAATATTAAATATCACTAAAATACATTTTTCCAATAATACCAGTAAAATAAATATTTTCTAAAAAGTACCACAAAATTAAATTAAAATTTTAACATTTAAATCTAAATACTAAATCCTAAACGCTAAACTTTACCCCTAAAACCTACCATATATTTAAAATTGTCAACCTAAATCAATCAAATATATTTTACATCCCTGAAAATAAATTTTGATGTAAGGATATTTTTGGGAAATTATTGTGGTAATTTTGGGAAAAAACATTTAAAGTGTGATATTTTAATTCTCTGATTACTATTATAAAATCATATTTTTGTGTATGAAAATTATGTTTTTAGTGAAATTATTCTATTCTAAAATTATATGTATATATTGGATAATAATAGTGGTGCATTTAAAATAGAATTGATTAAAGAGAAACTCCCTCCAACACCTCACTTTAATTTTGTTTATCCAAAAATACCACAATTTTATTTTCCCAAAAATAAAGTAAACATAAAAAAATAATTTTCAGAGGTATAGAAATTTTGTTTTTAGATTTTGATGACTAAAGATAATTATCCAATCTTGATAGTAAGGAAACCTAAAGATTGTTTGGGTAACAAGATACTGACAACCTGACATGACGCAGGGATGAAGCAAGAGTTACTTTCACGGTTACACCAAATACGATTTTTTTGGGTCCAATGACCTAATTTTTTTTTACTTAATAACTTTAACAAGTTACTCTGTTAATCGGTTTGAACGTATTATTTTCTAATGTAGTTCCATATGTGAAGTAAGAAACTAAAAACACATACTTTTAAAAACGTTCAAACAAATTTAAAAAAAAAAACACAAAAGCTATTAATTCAAGACACAGAGAGACTAGAGAAAACTGAAACAACATGTTTGTGTCGCCTTTAGGTTGTAACATCTTTTGAATCTTGATCTTTATCACTATCCTTGGGGTTCCTGTATCTGTAAAACCAAGAGTATACAAGGAAGTAGCCGAAGTTCAAGACTCCTAAAATGACTAAAACCCAATAAACATTGTCAACTCTTCCGTGGTTAATGTCATTTGGTAACCACTCAGTTGTCTTCTGTATCAGACTGATCAGTGCTGTGCTCAGATAGAAAGATATTCCAATCACTAGTGAGGTCAACGAAGTCGCGGTGTTCCTCAATGACTCGGGGAACTCTCCATAGAACAATTCAATATTCGCGGGGAATTGGAAGGCTTCGCCTATACCTACTATCACAAGGGGAGGAAACAGCCATAGAACTGACATGGGATGCTCATTTTCAACTGTTTTCAGCCTCTTTGCTTCGACAACCGCAGAGAGTGCCATGCTTAGGATGGTGAGAACCTGTCCTACACCAACTCTTTGAAGCGGTGTCAGGGACTTATGAGTTAGCTTCTGGTACATGGGATAGACAAGCCAGTTGTTCAACATGATAACAATGCATGCTGTGAAGATTATTATGACTTGGAGTGATCCGGCTGGGACTTCGAAGTGAGGTCCGAGCCCACGGTCTGTGACTAGAGCTTGGAGTACAATCAAGCTTGTTTGCATGACCATGGGAGTACTAACAAAGATGATGGCTAGCCACAGAGGAATAACTCGGAGAATGGCTTTGAAATCTTCTACTTCCTGAACAGAACATAGCCTCCAAATGTTTTTAACTGAGCCGTGTTTCTGATTCATATCATCTTCAGTCTTTAACGCTGCACGGTTCAAGAACCTGCACATGTAAAACTCTTTTAGTTCTGGTTTAAGTTTCATGAATCTTTAAAAATCAAGATTTGAGAATTCTCCACAAGGTTCAATGAAAGCTTTACCTAAAGCTCTTAGAGGGCACTGCAGCAGAAGTCTTGCCCTCTATTTCGATCCCATGGTGATAGTCTTCTTCTCTGGATGAGATCACAACTTTTCTTTTAGCTGTAGCAGCGACCACAACACGGATCAGACTCATGAAGGGACTCCCCATGGGTTTGTCATGCTTGTAAAATCTCTTCCCAGAGACAAAAACAATGAAGCTGATCAAATTAGCGATGGCGCAGAGACCAAACCCGAGTTTCCAGCTAACATTGTCTTGTGTATATACAATCGCTGTTGCTCCAGTAATAGCTCCAGCATATAGTGTAAGGAAGTACCAGTTGAAGAAGCTTCCTTGTTCTTTAGGTTTCTCATATTGGTTTGCACCCGCGGATGCTAAAGTGAACCGAGTCCCACCTGATCCAATGGTCACTAGAGCTAAGGCTGCATACAAAACCCCGAGCTGGAGCTTCGATGGAGACTGGCATAGGATTGATCCAGTTTCACAAGGGCTAGGTCTCAAATGGTCCAAAGATGAGATCAAGGTCAAGAGAGAGATCCCCTGAAAACGTTTTTGACATAGTAATTAATCTTTTATGTTATCAAACACATAGAAGAATATCAAATGACTCTTGGACTTACAAGAAGAGAAATGAACGCAGAGACAGAGATGACAGAAATGTTTCCAAAGAAAGAATCAGCTATAATGGCTGCAGCAACAGGGAAGATACTAAGACATCCATTGGCAACATTTGAAATCTGTGCAGCAGTGATGCTCTTGATATTGAACTCTTCGATTAGGAAGACGATCAAGTTCATTACCCATCCGAAAGAAGTCACTGAAAGGCCTAACAACGTAGCTGCAACACATAGAACCTAACATTTGTCATTGTTTTGTCTTTCAAAAACATAGACCAAAAATAATAATTAAAATCACTACTAGCTAACCGATCATGAAAGGAAAAGTGATCCATCCACCGCGGTTGCTTCTTGCATCGCTAGAGCTCTGAGCTTCTGTGTCACCAGAGACTGAACCAGCCATTGACAGAGGAAACAGAGGAGTCACGTCCAATGTGTTTGTGACTTTGTGTGTTAGATGATGCAATTAGATAATAATGAATATCAAAAGGAAACACTAAACAGTATATATAAGCAAGTTCAGAGTAGATATGTTGTGTAATGATTTGTTAATCATCCAGGTTTGTCCAATTATATAATATCAAAATACCTACTCAGATTCTGACCATTCATCTGTTGTCGTTTCCAAAATCACGTGTTGCATGAATCTAATAAATATTTCCAAAATCATCTTTGTGATTTGTTTGGTTAAAATCACAAAGATTAAGAAACATTAATAAGAAGGTGTGGTCAATCTTGTAGTAAGTATATTGAGGAATTTGAGATTAATTGAATTTTTAGATGATTTTGGGTGACTTTAAGGAAATTGGTATGATTTGTTGTTAAATCCTTTCAAATACCACTTAAAACCATAAAATTTAGATTTCTGTATTTTTTACTAAAGAAACCCTCTATAATCCTCTAAAAAAAATATACAAAATCTTCTAAAATCTTTTGAAATCATTAAAAACCAAATCCTCAAAAAATTTTGAATAAGTGGATTTTAAACTAGATTTTCAAATCACTAGTTAAATAACGTTGGATTTCATAAGACTTTTTAAAATTCATGACTGAATAACATATGATTTGTTAGTTTTATCCAAATCACTTGAAATGGTAGATTGATCAATACACCCCCTTGTTTGATTATTTATAAAAGTTAAACCAATAGAAAAAATACAGCAGAATTTTAATGATCATAAATTATCCAAAAAAAAAAATTATGCATAAGAATTTGAAAAAAATGGAACAAATAAAAAAGCCTAAAACATCTTATACTCTAACTGGTCCAAATTATAAATTTTTTTTATCATTTTTAATTTGTTCCATTTTATTAGATTTTTTTCAATTTTCTATTCATAATTTCTATTACTATAATTGTTTATGACTATGCAAATTCTGCAGCATTTTTTTCTATTAGCTGAATTTTAATATATGATATTATTATTATTTTTTTTTTAATTATTGTGCTTTTAACCAAAACAAACTAAAATGCGGTTTCCCATATCTTCCCAGTATCCCATTAATCATCATAGTTAGTGGCCAGACTTGCTCAGTATACGAACAGTCACATATCATAACCATTTTTTTCATAAATCTAAAAAGTTACCTTTGGAAACAATCTTAGAATTTATGTGCATTAACATTTTTGTAATGAACAAGAAAAAACCTTCTCTACAACAAAGATATGAGAAGCAACAATATACCTTCAAATAAAATTATAAAAATATTAAAAACTTGCATACTGACACAATATTGTCTAGAAGATTGTTTCCTTTGTCAAGCATCATCTTATATATTTGTGAATATTAACTCTCTATTACATGATTGAAACACTATGGATGAAGTCTCAAGTTCTCTAGTGGTGGACCTCCTTCTTGATCATAGTTGGAAGTGGTTGGGATGGTTTAACCAGAAAGGTAGAGGTCAAATGGAGCCTCCACTAATATATTTTAGTGGACTGCATAATGATACATCATCAGTCCATGAATACAACAACACATATATGTAACCCTGTTACAATTTTTGTAATCTTGTAAACTCATAACCACAACACTCTACATGTCTAAAACCAATTTGTAATTTGTTTATGACTTAAGCTTCTAGGAGCTTTAGTTTGCAGAAATTTTCTATATATGTAGTAACAATTTTAGATAATTTAACGATGCTACTGTCTCCTATATTTAAAGTGAATATGGAGAGCAAAAGTCAGATAGAAAAAAAAAAGTGATGTTTCCTGAAAGAACAAGAACCTAACGAAGTAGTTGCACCAAATAGAACACCTACTATATATATTTTTCTGTGGTAAGTATTATTTTTGGAATGTGGTAGATATACAAAAACACATTACACTTGAAAGACATTGCAAACAAAACAAAAACACATAAGAGGAGCATGTAAGATATTTTGATTCAAGACATGGAGAACCCTGAAACAAAACATGTTAGGTTGCAACATATTATGAATCTTGTTCTTGATCATCATTCTTGGAAGTTTCTGTATTGGTAAACCCAAGAACACACAAGGAAATAGCCAAGGTTCAAGACTCCTCCAATGACTAGAACCCAGTAAACATTGTCAACTCTTCCATGGTTAATGTCATCTGGTAACCACGCGGTGTTTCTTTGGATCACATCGATAAGAGCTGTGCTAACATAGAAAGAGATACCAATCACCAACGAGGTCAATGAAGTCGCGGTGTTCCTAAGAGACTCGGGGAATTCTCCATAGAATAATTCAATATTCGCCGGTAATTGGAAGGCCTCACCTATGCCTACTATAACAAGAGGAGGAAATAGCCATAGGACAGACATGGGATGCTCATTTCCAACTGTTTTTAGCCTCTTTGCTTCCACAACCGCAGAGATGGCCATGCTTAGGATGGTGAAAACTTGGCCTATACCAACCTTTTGAAGTGGTGTCAGCGGTTTGTGGGTTAGCTTCTGGTACATAGGAAAGACAAGCCAGTTGTTTATTATGATGACGATACATGCAGAGATTATTGTTATGACTTGGAGAGACCCAGCCGGGACTTTAAAGTGAGGCCCGATCCCACGATCTGTGACTAGGCCTTGGAGTACCATCAGGCTAGCTTGAACCCCTATGGATGTACTAACCAGTATGATGGCTAGCCACAGAGGAATAAGTCGAAGAACGGCTTTGAAATCTTCTACTTCTTGAACAGAACATAGAAATGAGCCACCACTGGGTTTTAAGTCTCCTTGGGCCTTCAACGCTGCCCGGTTTAAGAACCTGCAAATGTGAAGCTCTTTTAGCTCTGTGTTTAAGTTTTATATATCATGCAAGGGTTTTCTTTATCACCTGAAGCTCTTGGAGGGCATTAGAGCAGAGTTCTTGGTCTCTTCTATGAGCTCATTTTGATGATAGTCTTCCTCTTTGGATGAAATCACAGCCTTTCTTCTTAATGTAGCAGCGACTACAACGCGGATCAGACTTGTGAAGGGGCTTTTCATGGGTTTGTCATGCTTGTAGTATCTCTTCCCGGAGAAGAAAACAAAGAAACTGATCAAATTAGCAGCAGCACATAGACCAAACCCGAGTTTCCAACTAGCATTGTCCTGTGTATACACAATTGCTGTCGCGCTAATAACGGCGCCTGCATTTAGCGTGAGGAAGTACCAGTTGAAGAAGCTTCCTTTGTCTTTAGGTTTTTCATACTGATTAGCACCAACAGATGCCAAAGTCACCCTTGTCCCAGCTGTTCCAGTAGTCACTAGAGCTAAGGCTGCATACAAGAACCCGAGCTGGATTGTTGAAGGCGACTGGCATAGGATTGAGCCTGTTTCACACGGTTTAGGTCTCAAGTAGTCGAAAGATGTAATAAGAGTCAAGAGACATATGCCCTGGATAAGAAGTTTACTAGTGAGCTTTGTTTTAGAGCTTAAAAGATAGTAGCGAATAAACGAGCTCTTAACTTACAAGAAGAGAAATGAAAGCCGAGACTGAGACTACAGGAATGTTTCCAAAGAAAGAATCAGCTACTACTGCTGCAACAACAGGCAACATGCTAGTACATCCATTGACAATATTTGAAATCTGAGCAGCAGCAATGCTCTTAATGTTGAATTCCTCGATCAAGAAGACGATCAAGTTCATTAACCATCCGAAAGAAGTTACTGAAAGACCAAATAACGTAGCTGCACCAAATATATATAACGAATAAGCCACAAAAACCATCAATATTTATGTATGTTTTAGATTCAAAATATGACACAACAAAAAATATATTCTTACCCATCAAGAAGGGAAAAGTGATCCAGCCACCGCGCTTGCTGCTTGGATTGCAAGAGCTCTGAGCTTCTGTGTCACCATAGACTGAACCAGCCATGACAAAGAACAAAGGAAGCAGAGTAGTTAGAGACAAACACTGAATGAACCTTATATAAGCGAATACAGAATACAGAACAATGTTGTTGGTTTCATGATTGGGATTTGGTAACAAACTTATTGGTCCAATTACATATTATCTAACTATTGTCGTTTTCTAATATCACGTTGTGCATGGAAAATATAAACAACTAAAACGATTTGGGCGGATCTTAAAAGTTACTTCCACTATATCATCACCAAAGCATAAATTAAAACACAACTTTAAAAATGCAGGAGATGAAAAGCTTCTTGCTAGTGGATCATCATCGTCGTAAACCAAAGAACAAGCAAGAAAAAAGTCAAGATTCAAGACTCTTCTATGACTAAAACCCAATAAACATTGTCAACTCTTCCAAGGTTAATGTCATTTGGTAACCATGCAGTGGTCCTCTGTATACCGCAAAATCAGATTCACATAAATCATAACTCCCTCTGCAAATAATCACTAATATCACGAGTGCCCCTGTCAAAATGAGGAGCAGCATCACGAAGCAGCCCGAGAATCACATAATTGTTTTCTTAGGTACTATACAGAAGTATCACTTGCCTTATTGTTTCAAGTGCATCGCAGAAGAATCACAACCATCATAATACTGTTTTCTCTCGGGCATCGTAGACACAAATCGAGTTGAAATCGGGTAGTCCGAGCGTTGGGGTCGTCGTCATGGCCTGTTTGAGCTTTGTGAAGGCTGCGGCTGCGTCCTCTCCCCAACTGAACTTGCCCTTCTTAAGCAGATTGGTGAGCGGTCGTGCGATAAGGCCATAGTCGCGCACGAACTTGCGGTAGTAGCCGGTGAGGCCAAGAAATCCGCGAAGTTCCGTGATTGTGGAAGGAAGTGGCCACTCGAGCATTGCTTTGATTTTGGTTTGATCGACCTTGACGCCGTCGCCGGAAATGATGTGCCCGAGATACTCGATTTCCGATTTGCCAAAGTCGCATTTTTTGAGCTTGACAAACAGCTGATGAAGGCGGAGGAGCTCCAAAACGGTGCGAAGGTGTTGGATGTGCTCGTCCCACGTACGGCTGTAAACGAGGATATCGTCAAAAAAAACCAAAACGAATTTACGGAGATGTACCCGGAACACGGAGTTCATCAGAGCCTGGAAAGTCGAGGGCGCATTGCAGAGCCCAAATGGCATTACGAGGTATTCGTAATGACCGTTGTGAGTGCGGAAAGCGGTCTTAGGGATATCGGGAGGATGAACTCGGACTTGGTGGTAGCCGGCGGTAAGATCAAGTTTGGAGAAGACGTGCGCACCGTGGAGTTCATCGAACATATCATCGGCCGAAGGTATCGGGAAGCGATCTTTGACCGTGGCGGCGTTGAGGGCTCTGTAATCGGTGCAGAAGCGCCAAGAGCCGTCTTTCTTCTTGACCAAGAGTACAGGAGAAGAGAAAGGGCTGGAGCTTGGTTGAATGAGCCCGGATGCGAGCATCTCGTCGACTTGTTTTTCGATCTCGGCCTTCTGAAAGTGCGCATAGCGATAGGGTCGTACGTTGACGGGGTCAGAACCTTCTTTCAATACAATGTGGTGCTCGATGTCCCGGGTGGGGGGAAGGGATGACGGTGGTTGGAACACGGAGTCGAATTCGTGGAGGAGGGCACGAATCTGCGTTGGAATGGTCGAAGCCGTGTTTGTGTTGTCGATGATGATGATGGTGAATAGGGATTGGCCGAGACGGGCCTCTTTCGCTACCTCGGCCCACTTTGCCTGCTGGAGTCGTTGGCCTTGCATCCCGAGAAGTGTGTGAGTAGTACCGGCCCGTTGGAATTCCATGGTATGGGCCTTCCAATCACATAGTGTTGGCCCAAGTGTTTCTAACCATTGGATGCCTAAGACGACATCAAGACCGGTTAGGGGCAGTGCATAGAGATCGACGGAGAACGATATCTCGCCTAAGTGTAAGGCGATTTGCCGATACACACGGTGACAACAGAGGGGGTGGCCGTCGGCGACCTTGACGGAGAAGGCGGAGGTCGGCGTGGATTTCAAGTTGAGTTTGTTGGCGGCTCGTTCGCTAATGAAGTTGTGCGTAGATCCACTGTCGATAAGGGCAACGAGAAGCTGGCGATTGATCGTGGCTTGGACGCGAATTGTTTTGGGTGAATCCCAGCCGGTAAGCGCGTGAAGTGTGATTTCTGGCTCGGCCGGGTCATGGAAAATCTCATCGGGGTCGTCGTCGTCGGCATCTTCGCCCAGGAGGAGTAGGAGTTGGGATGTTTTGCATTTGTGGCCGGGGGCATAGCGTTCATCGCAGCTAAAACATAACCCCAGGCTACGCTTGCGTTTCATTTCGTCCCAACTAAGGCGCTTGGCGGTTGATGGTGGTGTTGTGGTCGGAGGGGTCGGGTCGCGGATGACATTGTTTGCGGGATGTCGTGAAGGGGGGTTGGATTGTGGTGGTGTGTTGTACGATCTGTGGAGAAACGGTTTCTTTTGAGCTTGGATGTGTTCGTCACTTAAACGGGCCAAGTTAAAAACATCTTGGAGGGTCGTGGGGGAGAACATTCGAACGTGTGCTGCGATGGATTTGTTTAAACCGCCCAGGAATGTACCGATGAGAGCATCCTCGGACCAGTTCTCGACTCTGTTTTGTAGTTGTTCGAACTCGCGTTGGTACTCCCGTAGGGAGCCCGTCTGTTGGATTTTGGAGAGTGCCTCATGGAAATGAGGGCCCTTGGTTGGTCCAAAGCGCTTCCAGAGCTCGGATTCGAAAACTCCCCAGGGTGTAGTGTGTGCGTCTGTTCCCAAGCGTTTGGATGTAGCTTGCCACCATTCGTTTGCCTCGCCAGTCAAGTGATAGGCGGCGATGCTGACCTGCTGTTGTGGTGGAATTTCGTGGTAGGCAAAGTATTGGTGGACTTTGCTTATCCATTCGGGTGCTTCGTCGCCATGAAAACGTTGGAGGTCCAACTTAACATGACGAGCAATAGGCGGGTTGTTCTCCAGACGCCGTGGTTCTCGTTGGGCTGTGGGTGCGTCGTGGTTGCCTGCCAAGAGAGCCATCATACGATTGATGGCGGCGCGATTCTCGTCGGCTGTGCGTCTGTTATCGTCGGCGATACTCTGGAGGGAGTGTTCGACGATCTGAAGCTTAGCTGTGACATCAGAAGAGAGCTTCTGGATGTCTCCTTGCATAGTGCCAACGTTGGCCTCCAGATCTTCCAAGCGTTCTTTGTTCGTCGTCATGGGTCCCGTGGGGGACAAGGGAACGAGGGTACGAGACGTGTTTTTGCGTGTGGATGGAATGATTGCGATGAAAAGAGGGGAAAAAAAAAAAGAGGAAGTAGCCAAGCTCTGAATACCAATTGATAGCTGCGACCTCGTCGTATCACAACCTTAGTATCGAGAATAAGACTTTAAAGACACAAGTGAGTTTTGGGCAATTGATATTGCCTCTTTTTGGCTTTTCTATTTCTTTTATAGGAATCAAAAACAACAGAACGAGATGGAGGGATCACCACTCCTACAACTTAGGGAATAAGGGAAAGAGGGAAAGTGGTTCCTAACAGTTAGGAAGACCACGTCCACTTATTAACAAAACATCAAAAGACAAAGACTACGTCTTCCTAATCCACGAACTTCTTGTTGGGCCTTCGGGTTCTAGTGGACTTCCTTATTGGACTCGGCTCATGACCCAACTCTTCATCTTCTTCTTCATTTGCGTACTCATCAATTATATTACCACAAATGTCCAAATCAATATTACATACTTCAAAAACAGTTGGAAAGAGCTTTTCAATGGTTACAAATTGAAGATACTTTCAGAAAAAAGCTCTCTCTTTACAGAACTGCAAATTATGAAAACAGAGGACTTGTCTAGCTCTCTCTCTCTCTATGTAGCTTATAAGATCATGAGGAGAGAGTAGTAGAGTGAGAGACAACAACATCTTGGTCATGATCATCATTCTTCAGGTTTCTGTATCTGTAAACCCAAGAACACACAAGAAAATAACCAAGATTCAAAACTCCAGCTATCACTAAAACCCAGTAAACATTGTCAACTCTTCCGTGGTTAATGTCATCTGGTAACCATGCGGTCGTTCTTTGAATAAGATCGATTAAACCAGTGCTTGTGTAGAAACATATCCCAATCACAACCGAGGTGATTGATGTTGCTGTGCTTCTCATAGACTCTGGGAACTCTTGATAGCACAGAGCTACATTTCCTGGGAAATGAAAGGCCTCTCCTGCAATAGAAAGAAGAAACCAAGAACATGATCCATTTGAACTAAATCCGAGTCGAATGAATAAGCCAGTGTTAATTCCTCACCTATTCCTACTATAACTAGAGGAGGGAATAGCCACAAGACTGACATGTCTGCAACTGATGATGATTCGAGGAAATGACCGTTCTGTACTATCTTCAATCGCTTTGCTTCAACTATGGCAGTCACGGCCATGCTAAGAATGTTGAAAACATGGCCTGTCCCGACTCGTTGGAGTGGTGTGAGGAATTTTCCTGTTAGCTTTTGGTAAAATGGGTAGAGAAACCGATCGTTGAGTATGATAAACAGGCAAGTGGAGAGAAGTGTTACGACTTGGAGAGAGCCTGCAGGGATTTTAAAGTTAGGGCCAAGCCTCCGGTCCATGACCAGACCTTGCAGAACTGTTAAGCTTAACTGCATTGCGATTGGAGTGCTCAAGAATATTGTAGCTAACGCAAGAGGGATGATTCTTATGACTGCTTTGAAATCTTCTACTTGTTGAACACTGCATAATCTCCATGGGTTGCGAATTGTGCCATCTGGTTTAACCTCGTCTTCCTGTTTCAAAGCTGCACGGTTAAAGAACCTGCGTATTTAAGAACTCATTAGAATGGCCTCTCAGTGCAATAATTAAAATGTGGTTTTCGAGCTGTTTTTTACCTGAAACTCCTTGTGGGCATTGTGATTGATTCATTGTGATAGTCTTTTTCGCTGGTGGACACCACGGCTTTTCTTTTGCGTACCGCAGCGATAATTACACATAATAGACTTGTGAAGGGACTTCCCAAAGGCTTGTCGTGCTTGTAGAATCTTTTCCCCGAGATGAAAACCAAAAAACTGAAGAGATTAGCAGCTACGGATAGACCAAACCCAAAGGTCCAGCTGATATTGTCTTCGGTGTAGACAATGGCGGTTGCACTTATAGCTCCGGCTAGATATGTTGTGAAGAAAAACCAGTTGAAAAAGCTTCCTTGGTCTTTAGTTTTTTCGTACTGGTTTGCTCCAGCAGTTGCTATTGTGAACCGTGAGCCACCTGTTCCTATGGAGGCTAGCGTAATGGCCGTGTAAAGGACGCCTAGCTGGATGTTCGAAGGAGATTGGCATAGGCTAGAACCTGTTTCACATGGTTTGGGTCTTAAAGAGTCAAGCGAAGCTGTTAGAGTCAGCAGAGCTACACCCTGATCAAGAAGTAGAATTGGTCAACTTCTGTTTCAGATAGAAACTAACAAAAACAAATGTTGAGTGAGTATTTATTAACTGTACCATAAGAGAAAAGAAAGCTGAAACTGAGATAACAGGAATGGTTCCAAAGAAAGAGTCAGATGCAATGGCTGCAACGGCTGGAACCATACATATACAACCACTAACAATGTTAGCAATCTGAGCCGCTGCGATGCTCTTCACGTTGAATTCCTCAATCAGGTAAACGATCAAGTTAAGTAACCAACCCCACGCAGCTATCGTCAGGCCTAACAGCGTAGCTGCACCAAAGAAAGATAGATAGTTTCACATTCCTCCTCCAAGTTCTAATGATTATGAAGTTATGAATTAGAATCAAACACAGAGAAACAAAATCTCTCACCAATCATAAACGGAAAGGTGATCCAACCCCCACTTCGGCGTTTGGTGCTTGAAACTGCTGCCATCTGTGTTTCTGCGTCGACGGTAAGTGAACCAGCCATGTCTTCAAAGCTAGCAGAGTTCTTTATCTGTTTACTTCAACAATGGCCTAAAATTCTGAAACATATACACAGTATAAATAATAATACAACACTGATGACTTTCTCGGGTCCATGATACTTTATTCTCCATGTGCAGCAGCTTCAAACAAGTAACATTAAGAAAGTGAAAAAAAAAAAAAACACTCAAAGCTTTCTGTTGATGCAAGTTGAGCCATCACTGTCTGCTTCGAGCATCATATGTGAATACGAAAAATTATCCAACCCAACGTTTAAGAAGTCAACTCTAAAAATTGTCAGGTAATGGATATTGCTAAATAAAGACCCATTTGTGCCTAATTATTACTATGTAATTGACCCACCATTTATGCTTCAATAATGCAAGTAGCACTTAAAAGCCAAGCCCACAAAAGTGTCTTTGTAATCATTGAATGATAATAGACTACTCTTACAAGAGCATTGACTCTGGTTCTAGCTCTTTTATGGCTATACCACTTATTTTGAGAATTAGAGCTTCCAGCTAGATGGGTACATTGCAAAACTATATTCTTTCTTCTCTTTGTTTGCTAGCGAAGACTCAAGTACGTGAAGTAGAAAATAGTCTGAAGATATGCATTTATAACTTGAGTACTTTACATTGGAGCTACACTCAATCACTAGTAGTAAATAACATGAACAAACAAATAAAATTACAAGATTTATATATGTTGAAGTACATGAATAAAAGAACAGGCAAAGATACTAAGCAGCCATTCGGATAGTTATTAGGTAATACCGGCAATCACGGGACTGCTGCTCTTCTAACCGTATGTTGGATTGAGTGCTATGGCTTCCTGATAGATCATATCTTTGATCTGTTCCTCATCCAGAGGCTGTTGTTCGAACTCGAAAGAGAATGGCTTTTGACAAATTGGCTCATCACTTGGGTCGTGCAATTTGGCAAGGTACTGATGATTCAGAGCTTCTTCAACTGCACACAGAAGAATTGACAGTATTTTTAGCTTTGAATCAAACCAAAGATTATAGGAAACCAACAGAGAACAGATGATGAATGATGTAACTTACCAGTGATTCTTCTGTTGGGGTCAAACGTCAACATTCTGTCAACTAGATCAATGGCCATTGGGTTAACATGAGAGAAAAGTTTTGCTAACGGCTGGCGAGGGAAGCTGGGAAGCTGCCGGATGTATCTTTTGGCGTCCTCGTTGTGTGTAAAGCCAAGATCAGCTTCTGTCGGTGTGCCAAGCAACTGCGAAAAAATTCACACATTCATCACATATTCCGGCAAAGGCAGAATCTTTAAAACATACCAAAAGTAGATAACTTTCTAATCTCTTACCTCGGTCAATAAGCGCATTTGATGAACATGGTCTTTACCAGGGAACAAAGGCTTTCTGTTCATAAGCTCCATAAAAATACAACCAACAGACCAAACATCAATAGCAGCTGTGTAGTCTGAAGAGTTCAACAGAAGCTCAGGTGCTCTATACCATCTCGTCACAACATACTCTGTCATAAAGTCATTCTCTGAAGTAGGTCTAGCAAGACCGAAATCACAGATCTTTAAATCGCAATTCGCGTTCAACAGAAGATTGCTCGGCTTTAAATCCCTATGAATAATGTTAGCTGAGTGGATATACTTAAGCCCTCGAAGAAGCTGGTACAAGAAGTACTGTTACACATCAAAGACCAAGCCAAGAATCAGTTTCATGTTTCTACTACCTTAGAAACCATACAATCCAAGAAAATAACCAAAACATGAACAGTTTAGTTTACCTGACAGTGTTCCTCTGATAAACCTTGGTTAGATCTGATGATTTGGTGAAGATCAGTGTCCATTAACTCAGTAGCAATATAAACATCACTGAACTGTCTTCGTAGTGGTGGTGGAACCACATCTCTTATAGCTATAATCTGTTGCAATACCAAATCAAAAAACCTAATCATGATTTGTTCATCTAATCTCAACAGATAATTTCACAAAATCAAAACAAAACTAACGTTTTCATGATCAAGATGACGAAGAAGCTTGATCTCACGAAGCGTACGCTTAGCATCCATGTGGTTATCAAAAGCATTTGCTATCTTCTTCATCGCTACAAGCTCGTTCGTCTCCGTATCCAACACAGAGCTTCAAAAATAAAAATCTCAAAAGTCAGAAAACTCCGATCTCAATCAAAGAATCAAAAACAAAACTCAGAGGAAGAGAAACATACCAAACGATTCCATAAGCTCCTCGACCAATTGGTATAATCGGAGGACGATACTTAGATGTGATCTCAAATAAACTACCGAAGATATCGTAACTTATGAACTGTCCTCCGTGAGTCTCCACCGCCGGGAAATCCGTGTATTGACCACCGCCGGTGTTCATTTCCCTCTCTCTCTCGATATAAGCGTTGACGATTTGTTCAAGTCAAGCTTCAGTGGGTTTCGAAGTAGTGAATCTGAAAGTATACCGAATCGTTTAGATATATAGACAGAGTCAACTGAGAGACTGAGACGAGTAAACAGAGATGGAGTTTTCGCGGTAAGTGCGAGGAAGAAGATGAAGAGGAAGAGAGAAGATGGGAAGATTGTGTGGTTGAGATTAGAGCCGCCTCATATCTGACGGTTGATGTTCGTTATTGACTTCGTCAACGGTCTTGGTTCTCTCATCGTTCTTTACAGTTTATTTTGCTGTAGAAGATTTTTTTTTTTCTCTGATAAACATAATAATTAGTTTATAGCGTGGCGATTTTTATATGATAGATAAAATAATAAACTATACTCGTTTTATTCGTTTAAGAAATTAAATATTTAGTATCGTTTATGTTACATATTTTTTTTTTAATGCGATTATCGATTTTTATTATATAGTATTGAGTATCTCATATGTGATTTATGCGGGTTAATGATATATTATACCTCTGTTACGTGTTTTAAATCACTACCATGTTCTTTAGAAGAAAAAACATTAAAAAGATTAACTTTTGTTTTTTTTATGTTAGGCAGCATGAGATGGCTGTTTAAGTTAAAAAAGTGATAATATAATTTAATGTTTTAGTATATTTGAATTTTCTTGACATTTATTAAAAAAATAAAATTAATCATAGATGTTTATATCTATTCAATTTTTTTTTTTTTGCCATGTGTCACAATTCAAATATGATATATTAGTGGTTATAGGAGAAATATATATTAATTATCGATGAATAATGAAATATATATTAGCTATCGATGAATAATTCTTTAGATTGGTTCTCCAATTAATGCTTTTTTTGTTGGAAAGTAAAAATATTTTGATTTTTTTTCATGGACACTGAAGTATCCACAAAGTAAAATTATCTTAAAATGTTGGGTTCTTGTAAATGAGGTGAAGAATATACAGTATATCTTTTTCATCTTTACATGAAGCTGACGAGTCAAATAGATTGGATTTAAAATAAATATCTACATATTTTTAGTGATAAGAACATATAGACGACGGTTTGACGCGTGGGTTGCATGAAAATTATTTTGTGAATAAGTTGTAGAATCACATTTTATGTGAAATTGTGAAATCAATTTTTTGAGATTTGACAATAATAATAATAATAATAATAATAATAATAATAATAATAATAATAATAATAATAATAATAATAATAATAAATGATTGGCAAAAGTTTTGTGTTAGGGTTTGTTGTAAGAATTGTTACAGTAAATTAAAATGATAAAAATATAAATTAGTGTTTAAAGACAAAAAAAATAGTTACTTACTAAATTAGCTTCTACTTACAGCATAATATCAATATATTTTTGCTAGATTTAATTTCATTATATAATTTTAGAACTCACATATGGGACGTTTCCTAAACAAATATATTTTAATATACAAATTATATACCGACCATTATTAGTACTTGATATTAAAATTTTAAAAATTTAAATAAATTTTACTAATGAGATGGCTATCGTGATTTTTTTTTTTTTTTGAGTCTTAGGATCATGCTTTTCTCTTGTAATGTGAAAAATTTCAAGTTCTTACATCATAACCAGTAGACAACCTACAATTTTAATTTCTCTATCCTACCATAAGTTTAAGAAAATGAATAATAAGTATATGATATTTAAGAAATTATAGTAACCCCCATTGAAAATAATTCTTGACCCCTAATTGCGATTTCAATGTCAAGACTTTATCATAAAATAATTCTTGACCCCCATTGCTGCACTGAATTAATCAAGGCATTAATTGTATACTAAAATCCTCTTTTTATCCTTGATTAAGTAGATAACCGTAGCATGTCCACCTTCAGCTTCAGTTTCCTAAGTCCAAAACCTGTGAAAAAACTATGTCTTGTTGTTTGGCCAAGTCTTTGTTTCTTCCTTCTTATTAATGCTCAAAATATTACAAGGAATTGTTGTCTCACTGTGTTTGATTCAATGTGACTGTTTTTGGACAAAACCTTCTTCATGTGTTTGATTCAATGTGTATCATGTGATTAATGAACCTTTCTCTTGTGTTTGATTCAATGTGTCTGTTTTGGACTGAAAAACTTCTTGTGTTTGATTCAATGTCTTTGTTTTGGACAAAACTTTTTGGTTGTGTTTGATTCGATGTTTATAAATAATAAAAAGTTTTATTTTTAAGAACCCTACACATGGGTTTACTATTGGAGGAGTAAAACAAAAAAAAATTCATAAAAGGATCATAATAATTAATTTAAGAGAATTTTTGAGAAATGCCCCCTTTGTTGTACCCTTTTTAAAAAATACCCCTCTTTTCTATCAATTTTCAAAAATACCCATTTTCAAATATGAAATATTATAAACTTTTATATGGTTGATAAGGTACCTCAAGATCATCATTACTACTGGAAGGCTGAATCCAAATATTTATAAGGTTTTAAAAGGTTATAAACGGCATTTATAAGGTTTTTATAAGGTTATTAAAAGGTTTACACAGTTTTTATAAGGTTTTTAAATGACTTTTAAAAGGTTTTTAAAAGGTATTTATACAGTATTTATGAAATATATATATGAATTTATACACATATAAAGATAATTTGTGTCTATAAATATAAGTTTACACATGTTTTTGATAAATTTCAAATTTTATAGTGACTTTTTGATAAAATTAGAAAGAAGGTTATTTTTAAAAAGTGGTATTGGAAAAGGGGTATTTTTGAAATTCCCTCTTAATTTAATCACAAAATTTAATTAAAACTTGCCTAAGAACCTCATGCATGAGTACACCTTGGGAGATGGTCTTATTTAGAACCAATGTAAGAGTTAAGACCATGTCCAATGGGTGGTTCTTAAGTTGTTTCTTCGTAATAAAAACCTTAAAAATAAATCACTAATCATAATTATGCTAAAATATGTATCTTAGTTAATAAAAATTGTGAGTGTTTCTTAGTGCCACGTGTTCGATTGTGAGTGGTTTGTGTTTAAAAAAAAACAATAAAAAATTTTATATTAAAATTCTCAAAAATAACACTAATCTAAGTTTTTGTTCTAAACTTAGCACACACTCTCATATTTTCCAAATTAGCACCAAATTTTAAAATTAATCTTTCAAAATTAAATCCTTAAATCTAAACAATAAATCTTACCCCCTAAAAACAATTCCCTAAGTGTAAAATAGTCAACCCTAACCTTAAAAAAATTCTAGAAAATTATTTAAAATATTATAATTATGTTAATTGGTGCTATTTTTGGAAATTTGTGGAGTGTGTTTGCTATAATTGTCCATAAAACAGAAAAACATATGCATCAACAATTAAAATCTGATTTGGTTGAGAATATTTGGCAAAATTTTGGCGACAATTAAAATATGATTTGTACTATGTGTTTTTATTATGTTTTAATTATGTTTTAATATTATGTGTTTGTAAAAAATTTTAGTTTTCAATTTTTTTCATTTTTTATTTAAGAACTTCTATTAAGAGTTTTACCATTGGAGGTGGATAATTTTAATTATCTTCAAAAAGTTCTTATTTTAGAAAAATACACAATTTATAGCAAAAAAATTACTAAGAAATTTTATCAACATACACCCATATCTTAACATAATTATGATTAATAATTTATTTTTTATTTTTTATTACTAAGAAATAACTTAAAAACCACTAATTGGATATGTTCTAAGTATCAATGTGAAGACTTAACATCAACAGAAGCTAATGTTAAATTTTAATAAATAAATAAAAACGAGAAGTTCGAAAGTCTTAAACCGACACCAAACGAAATAATCGAACCGGCGGTGATGGCAGAAACGTAATAAATAAAGAATCTATGGGCATAGTTATTTCCATATTATCTCTTCTTATTATGCAATCGTGGATCTGAGAGAGAGTTTTTAAGGGTTATAACAAAAAAAAAAAGAAATAAGAAAAAGAAAAAAAGAGCCAGCGGCCAAAATCTCAGCCATCCAATCTCACTGCTCTCGTCTCTCTCTCTCTCGGAATCTCCCACTTCTCTCAATCTCCGATCGAATCTCTCTCTCTCTACTCAGCCGTATGTTTCACTTCTTCTCTTTGATCGATTCTTTCATCTCTTGATTTCAGGAGAATCGCCGAATCTCAAAACCCTAGTTCTGTTTCCTTCTTCTGATTTCACGATTTTAGTTCCGGCGTAGTTTTTGGGATCAATCATGTATTCTACTGATTCGGATTGTATAAATCTTACTAGATTTCTTTATTGATATTTTGATTTGTCTATGTCCGTTGACGCAGTCTCTACTTGATACCGTCGCGTCGCATGCACGGATTAATTTGTTGACAGTCTCTTGATTGTAGATTCTTGATTTCGATCTGAAATTTTGAATCTTTAGTTGCAATTTGGTTTGGAATATAATATTTGATGAGATCATTCAATTTGAAATGTTATTAGTTAGATTGCTAAACCTTTTTAATACGAACTGTTGTGGAAGTACTAAAGTTTATCTAGTTTTGTCAGTATGGTTGCTTTGATGGGTCATGATTCGTATATAATATATATATATATATATATATCTCATTCGGTGTTCTTGTTCTTGATTTGTCTTATTCAGGAAAAAAATGAGTGATTACGGTGAAAAGACTTGCCCATTGTGTGCAGAGGAGATGGATTTGACTGACCAGCAATTGAGGCCTTGCAAATGTGGCTATCAGGTTATTCTTTTGATATATACGTCTAGCTTATGAGTGTTTGGCAGCTCTGTTCTTGTTTGTGGGATTAGGAGGATAGGCAATTAGGTTAAGTTATTGTTTTCTTATGGTTTACTTTGAAGGCTGTATTGTGGTACATCTAAAGCATACAAACTATATGGTTTATAAGTTCAAAACTATGACTAAAAGATTTGTGATTATACTTATTGTGTGGCCTAAGGGATTGTTAAGCTAATGATAATTCCTGATCTGATTTGTGTTTACCTCCAATCTTATAGATTTGTGTTTGGTGCTGGCACCACATAATGGACATGGCAGAGAAAGATCAATCAGAAGGGCGCTGTCCAGCTTGCCGCACTCCTTATGACAAAGAAAAGATTGTTGGGATGACTGTTGATCAGAGGTTGAGATATGACACCTGGAATGTGGATTTTTTGTTCTGTATCACTTATTCAGTTTTGGTTTGCTGATGTTTCTTATCTATTTCCTGTTCTCAGACTGACCTCTGAAGGCAACATGGATCGCAAAAAAACACAAAAGTCAAAATTGAAACCTTCTGAAGGGAGAAAGCAACTAACTAGTGTTCGAGTGGTTCAAAGAAATCTTGTTTACATTGTTGGGTTACCACTAAATCTAGCAGATGAAGATGTAATGGTTCTTTCCTCGAAAACCTTGTAATGATTTCATATGATCTGCTAGTGACGGGATTGTTTAATTTTTTTTTTCAGCTTCTCCAGCGTAAAGAATATTTTGGTCAGTATGGAAAGGTTCTAAAGGTTTCCATGTCCCGAACAGCAACGGGTCTCATTCAACAGTTCCCTAACAATACATGCAGTGTGTAAGTTTTGTTGTTTCTAATGTTAATCAACCAAATTTATCTTTTAGCATGAATGAGTTTTTACATGTTTATTTGGCATTATTATTATGTTCTGATTATAAACTGCTATTACTCCAGATATATCACTTATGGCAAAGAGGAAGAGGCTGTTCGATGCATTCAGTCCGTTCATGGGTTTATCTTGGATGGTAAATCACTGAAGTAAGTCATGTCGAGCACCCTTTTGTATGAAACTGGTTGTGTTTAATGGCTATTAGCTTCGTTAATTTCATATTTTTTTTCCTTTTTATATTGCAGGGCATGTTTTGGGACAACCAAATATTGTCATGCATGGTTAAGAAACGTGGTATATACTCTTGTTCTACTCTCTGGCCCACATAATTTTTCTTCGGGCTTTTTTCTTTTCAGTTGAAATTCGCAACTGATACTATTGGAATATGGATTGTTTGTTTCTATTATCAGGCATGCAACAATCCTGATTGCCTCTATCTGCATGAGGTGGGCTCCCAAGAGGATAGTTTTACAAAGGATGAGATCATATCAGCTTATACAAGGTAATCTTCAGTGTTTCATTTTCATATTGTTTAAGGTTTCCTCTTATAGTCATGATTATTCTTAGTACGCATATAAATCTGTGGAGAAAGTGTAGTTTTAATTCATTTAGTAATTTTGAATGAGCAGAGTTCAGCAAATCACTGGAGCCTCAAATACTATGCAATACCGTTCAGGGAGCATGCTACCACCACCATTGGATGCTTATTGCAGTGACAGTTCTACTGCAAAACCAATTGCAAAAGTTCCATCTACTGTAAGCTCCACAAAATTTTCTACTTTACATTGATGAGTACTATTTGGCTTCCGTCATTTGTATCAAATAGAGTTAATATTTTGCATTCTTATGTCCTGTAGCCTTAGTTAGGGTCATACTCATATATGGTTAAATTCATTATGATATTGCTCACTAGAAACTTAAGTGGATGTGCAGTTTTCCATAGAAACTTATCTCTGCTATAGCTACAGATTGTGTACATGTGTTTTATTTTTACAATCTGACATTTTCATATATTTTTCTTAGTAAGAAAAGGCTGTATGAGATTAATGTTTAGTTCTCTCTTATATTCATTGGTGTAGACCGCAGTTAATGTTCCCAAGAGTTCTCCACCTAGTGGGAGCTCTGGTAAATCAACTGCTCTTCCTGCTGCAGCATCATGGTAAGTTCTTGATGCAAGCTGTTGTATGTATGCAGTTTTGAAGGGGTCGTTTTTATTTAAAAAATTGGAATTTGTGTTGCAGGGGGGCACGTTTAACAAATCAAAATTCTTTAGCAACTTCAGCTATGTCAAATGGATCTTTGGATAATCAAAGATCAACATCGGAGAATGGAACGTTGGCTATGTCTACAGTTGTTGCAAATGGGCCTGTATTTTCTAGTAACACTCTTCAAAAACCACCTCACAAGGAAAAAATCCAAATATTGGCTGAAAAAAGCAAACCTGGCGTGTTGAAGCCTTTGCAGCATAACAATGTGGTGGATCCTGGGTCCAAGAGAACTACATCACCTAATAGAGATGCTAGTAGCAATCAGATATCCTGTTTAGTAGAATCGTCACACAATAGCAGAGTCATTGACAAGCCTTCTGCTGTTGAGAGTTCTTTTGAACACACAGATGAAATTGCTGAAGATGTCCCTGATGTTAGTAACTTGTCGGCTAATGTTGCACGGATGGGGATAACTACAAATTCTAAGGATGAAGGCCCTAGTGTTCCAGTGACTATTGGTACTTATTGTGATCAAGGTTCTATTAGACAACCTGGTAATGATGTATCAAATCTCGAGCAATATGGAAAACATTCTCCTACAAACACTGATGCAGAATCTGACATATTACAAAATGGGATTCATGGTTCAAGGCCAGAGTGGAATTGGAGTTCAGGTTCACAATCCCAGATAGATGTTAGGTCTACGTTGGAAGTGGATGATTTCACATCATTCAATAACAATAGGCGAGATGTCGCGGAGGCTGTTAGCAACTCATCGTATATGTTTAGCTCATCAAGTTCTGCCCTGGATTCGAATAATCTAGCTTCTCATTCTTTACAGAACAGGGAAACTTCTGGAAGGATGGATTATAATATTGGATCCTCCTTTGACATAGGTAACGATAGATTGCATCTTCCAAATGGATTTTCTGAGAAACCAATATCCAGTATGGAGCATTCTTTATTTGGTAATGAAGGGAAGAGCAACATTCAGAAAGCAGAGGAGGATATAATTTCAAACATTTTAGACTTTGATCCCTGGGATGATACCTTGACTTCACCACACAATTTTGCAAAATTACTTGGCCAGAGTAATCATAGGGCCAGTACTTTGGAATCTTCTAACCTCCTAAAGCAACATAATGACCAGTCCAGATTCTCTTTTGCTCGGCATGAAGAATCAAATAATCAAGTGTATGACAATAAGAGTTACAGCATCTATGGGCAGTTGTCAAGATATCAGCCTCTTCAAGAGTTTGGAGTGAGCCGTGATATGTATCATGATAAGCTTGGGAGTCAAAATGGTTTTGCCTCAAATTATTCCGGTGGATATGAACAATTTGCTGCTACTCCTGGATTATCTTCTTCCAAGAGTCCCGGTTAGTATATATTATCGCTTTTTATAGTTGTTTTCTGCAATTAAAATTGGCTTGACTAATAAGTAATTCACCAAGACTATATAGTTCTCTTCTTTTCTAAACTTTTCACCATTATCCTCTTGTAGTGGCAAGGACTCAAGTCTCTGCTCCTCCTGGATTCTCTGCTCCCAACAGGTTACCTCCTCCCGGTTTCTCTTCACATGAAAGGACTGATGTGTCTTCTGATAGTGCATCAGGTATTATATATTACATTCTTAAAAACAGATAGTTTCAACTATCCATAAACTGAAACTCTTTTAATATATATCTTGCAGGAACTCGTTTACTTGATGCGGCCGCTTTTTTGAAGAACACATATAATATACCATCTCCAAGTGGCAATTCAAATGCTGCTGGAGATATTGAGTTTATGGATCCTGCAATTTTAGCTGTTGGAAGGGGAAGAGTTCACAATGTGATGGAAACAGCAGACTTCGATATGAGATCAGGGTTCTCTTCTCAGCTGAATTCCTTTGAGAACGATGCAAGACTTCAATTGTTGGCGCAGAGGTCTCTGGCTGCACAACAAGTCAATGGATTTCACGATCCCAGGAACGTTAACAACTTCTCTTCTTCACTCGCAGACCCATATGGGATTAGTTCGAGGCTAATGGATCAAACTCAAGGCACTGGCTTATCTCCTTTCACACAGTTGCCTAGACAAGCTTCACCAAATTCATTGTTGTCAAATGGACACTGGGATAAGTGGAATGATCCCCAAAGTGTTAACACTCTTGGTATCACCCAGCTTCTAAGGAACGAACAGATGGGATTTAATGACAATGTCTACAACCGTTTTGAAGAGCCTAAATACCGGAGGCCCAGTCCGGGAGATCCGTACAACAGAACATACGGGATGTGATTGCTTGGTTGGATTTTCTCAAAAGAACGATTGTTTGGCTGATTGCAGTGTTGGAAGAATCATAGTCGAAACTGCTCTGTCTATTTGCATATATCAAACCAGATCCAGTACCAACAATCGCAATATTGGCTTCCCATAAGCAGTTTAAACTCAATTGGTATAGACATCTCGTTCCTCATCAAATATAGACAGGCAGACAGTGATTAACTGATATTGTATTGTGCTTACCAAAGTTTCTCTCATTTGCAGGAGGAAACCTTACCATGTTGTGTCTCAGCGAAATAGTTTGATGCTGCAGTGCCTACTGATTTAGTCTACATGTGCATTCTGCAAAAGGCTGAACTTCTAGCAAACTCCCCAGCATTTTTGGCGCTACTGTGAATTCATCCTCTGTATAGACTATATAGAGCTATAGACTATAGAGCTTTCAAGAACAGTATCAGTTTATGCTTTTGTAAAAGAAGAGTTGCTGTTAGAAGAAAAAAAAAAAGAGTCCTCTTCATCTTTTTTCTCGCTACTCTTATTCAAAATTTTACAGCATTAGACATATATACAACAATTGTTTACTTATTATGCTTTGGTCGTCTCTTGGAATTACTGATTTCTCGTTCTTATTTTTCTTTGCTTATTAAAATTACAACACGCAAGCAAAATCCACAAGTATTTGGATCACAAGAAGAACTTAGCTTACAGTACATTCTCTTTCTGAAGACTCATCGTCGTTGGCTACTACTAAGCTTCCAATGAATTGAGCTTCGTTTCCTTCATCGCTGTCGATCTCAGTTGAAACGTATCTTCTCTCTGTAAAAGCTGACGTCTGACGTCTCTGTAGCCGGAGAACGTGCATAATTACGTCAGGAGTCAGTGTCACCCTCGACTGGTCTTCTCTTCCCACTCGGTTCGATTCCATCACCTGCAATTTCCCACAAAACTCAGATTCAGTGTTTAGGAACGTGTCTCAACACAAAACATTGGCTAAGAGAAGGTGTGACCTACTAGTAGTTTACCTTTTCGATGTTTTCAGGCAGAGGAAGAACATTGTTTGACATTGGCGTCCAGAGCTTAACACTCTTTTCAATCCCGCAGGATGCAAGAAATGGTATGCACGGGTGAGACTCGAGCTGATTCACCACTCGTCTATCACCCAACATAGCCCGCACAAGCTTACCCCCTTTCTTCTTCCATATAAAGATGTGACCGCAGTCTGAACCACTCGTCACATATTCATCATTTGGACCGAAAAAGTTCACTCCTTTAACTGTTTGTGCATTGCGGTGTCCTGTGTACACCTGTGGTTCTTCCATTTCTTGCAGTTTCTCTGCAGAGATAGAAACAGGCGACGAACCATAACCCATGTTTTTCTCAAACAGGTAAATGAGTTCGTCGTTGTAAGATACCAATAGCTCTCCAGCTTTGGAATATGCCAATCCTGTGATATGAACACTGTTGGTTTCTCGAAGATGCCGGGGACAGAAAATGTTCACAGGCGCGTCTGGCAAGATGTGGCGACATACTGGAGCTAATTGACCTCTTCTAGTGTCGTAAACTCGTGCGTACTCATCAGAACCTCCAACTGCAAGATAAAATGGATTCCTCGGATCTATCGCAATGGAATTCAATCTAATCCTACTGCTAGAGTGATGTCTCCTGCAGCCTTGCGTGAAAGGAGAGGAATACAAAACCATAGTGGCACTATTGCTACGTATATCAAACTGCCAAAAAAAAAAAAGCAAAAGCAAGTTAAGTTTGAGTTTTCAAAGACATCCAAAAGCCAAACATGAGAAACACATGAAAGAGGTATAGAAACCAACATGTTGAACAAAACCATCTTCACCACAGCTGTAGAATACATTAGGATCTCCAGGCAAAACAGCAAGCTTATACACGCGACCGTGGTGCCTCCCTAGCCTTTTTGTCTCCACTTTTCCATTTTCCAGTATCTGACCAAGTCTTACCTGCAAAACAGAATGGACACTGAATGATTCAATTAGGTAAAACAAAAATAGCAACAATGCTGGAGAGTCTTTAAGATTTTCGAGATTACAAGCATACTTGTCCATCAGCACCAGATGTTATGATAGTCCGGTCATCTGTAAAAGGTATGAACTTAGTCTGAAACACATTTTCACAGTGGCCAGAGGGATATGACAATGTTTTGATTCCATTCAACCAGTTCCAAAGCATGATTTGTCGATCATCAGAACCCGAAACAAGAATATCGCCAGCGGAATTGAACTCCAAGGCATTCACACATCCCTCATGCCCATTTAGCTTCCCGTAAAGATCGAGTTTCTTCACAATCCCCTGAAGTAGTCAAATAAACAATACAGTTCAACCCTAAGAACTTATTTTGAGTCTTTAGACAAGTCTTTGTATTAAGGTTCGGATTGTAGCACATCCTACAAAACACTAATTAATCAGATTGTCTGAATTCATCAACCCATTTGTAGCTAGAATCAAAAGATTCCAACTTTAACATAAAACCTCTCACTTGGAGCATCACAAACTTGGCCTTTAAGAACACTAAGATCCATGATTCGAAACACAAATCCAAGAAATGAGGAGACTTTATGATTATTATGACATAAATATCCAAAACCCACAATTTCTATACGAATTTTGAGCACGAAATTGGCAACTTTAATCTTCCCGAGTCAGAAAAGTCTCATCTAAAAGCAGAACCAAGTAAGAGAGGGAGGATTAAAGATCGGAGGAATAAAGTAATGGAGAGCAGTAAGGAGAATAGTAATGAGAACCTCAGAAGCGGAGATACGATGAGAGACCGAGCTAGGATGAGAGGAACCAATCTCTCTGTTGTATAACTCCGTGAAGCCATCAGCGATCTCTGTGTTTCGTCTCGCCATAGTACAATTTCAAGTCTCTCTCTATTGCTTTTTGTGAAAGTCGTGATTCGTACTCGGGTATAAACACCGTGTCGTCTGCGCTAACAGAAATGTCACAGCTTGCTGTTTTGTTCACTCCAGAACGGCAGACGGTGCAAATAGTTTACGTTTCTTCTTCAGAACTCAGAAGCGTCAAAAGGGATCAGTTATTAACGGATACGAAGAAGTCATTATAACTTCAGAGTTCAGACAATGAGATATCTTCTTCTTTCAGTTCCCATTATTACAACAAGACTTTAGAGAAATTTTACCAAAAAAAGAAACAAGACTGGAGAAGATCTTATAAATATGTTCCGATCTTTTACTAGGCGTAATTGATTGGGCCTTTTAATTGAACAAGCTAGGCCCATTGAGTTGGGTCAAGGGTAGAGGATTGGAGTGACTAGTCGTATATAAAGTCAAAATCATGGAAATGCGAGAGACCTCAGTTATGGTTAACCAATAGTTTATTACGGTTATGGTTAGTATTATTTTTAACCGTAACTCATTTACTTTTGCGGTTAACGGTTATCATCCATAAACAGTTTGATTACGGTTAGAAATACGGTTAACATTAGTTTTTGGTCATGTCTGCTCTCAAATTGTATTAGGATTCATAAAATTCTATAATATAAGAATAAACAAAGAATGATGTCAGGAAAGTACTGAAAACGAATAAAAAAGCAAAAGAAACATTTTAAGAAAAATATAATTAAAGAAGATTAAAAAAAACAACGTATGCATGGGAATCTAATATAATAGAAGTTTTGATGCTTTGCTTGAAGATGGAGTTAAGTATAGATGCCAATGCCACAAGGTCTCGCTCTGGAAACTGCGCCTCATATCTTTGGGTCCGATCCACTTTTACTAGCTTAGCTTGTGTTAAATAATTGTATAAGTCTTTATTTTTATATAATGTTATAAAATTTCCAAAATATTTAGTATCACCATTACAGGAAAGTACAAAGTTTCCTACTGCATATATCGTAGAAAAATAGTAAAAAATACCTGTTTTTTTTACTATATTTTACGAAATTTGTAGTAAGAAATGTCCTGTAAAAAATGTGGATTTTTGTAAAAAGAAGTCTTACGAAAAAAATCTGGTAAGAAATTAGTGGGAAAGTAAAAAGATATTTCGTAAGAATTCTGAAATTATGAAAATTTTGTAGAAATTTTTTTACGAAAATAAAATAGGTAAAATTTTGTTTTTACCAATTTTTCTATAAAATGAATTAAAATATAATTAAATAAATTAAAATAAAGCGTTATTTATATCGACTGTAAGCTTTTTTTTATAACTACAAGTAATATTTTTTTAAAAATCGATCAATCTTTTCTAAAATCATTTGAGCGATACATATATACAATACGAAATATCATATACTAATCATATAAAATGAAAAACAAACTAATATGAAAGATTGTGAAAGTGGGTTGGTCTGAGTTATGAAGCTTAGCCTTGACTTGACTGAGACTGAGACCACACACATGCAGACATGCTCATATCTCTCAGAGCTTCCCACTTTTGTTTCTTTGTCTCTCACTCACTACTCCTCGGTTTCTTCAAAGATTCTTCTTCTTCTTCTTTTAGTCACGTGTCGCATTCTCTTAGTCTCCATGCGGATTCACATATCTCTTCATTTCTTTCCTCTATATATTGAAATCTTTGAACTTATTACTTAGGGTTTATTTTCATGGCAAGTCATTTTGTTCAAACCCTGATTATTCTATATATATTTTTAATGAAAATAACGAGATATGAAATGGTCATCATTATAGTTTGGTTGCACTTGAGCCACAACACACAAGGATCGGGTCCAACTAGATTGTAATGATCACCATTTCTTTCTCGGATACCAATCATTGTTTACGAAATCACTAATTTTAGTGGTACGTAGAATATGACAGCAGCCTGATGCAACACATTTATATATATATATATATGTTCATCTCAATTTCCAAACTGTCTAGCTACAAAATATCAACTCATCAAGGCAAGGGAAAAAAAATAGGCAAGGGATGCTAAAAACCTATGTAATGACCTCATTATGAAATTTAACACTTCTTTAACATAACAAAAACAAAAACTCAGGATTTAGGTGGTATGATAACATTTTGTTTGAACAACAAAGAAGACATGTTATACAACTCACTTGATTGGGATAATTGATCGATAGGTCCGTAATCAACTCACAACAATCCAACAGATAGGAGATAGATGATAAGAAAAAATTTTACAAGTTTGGTTTTCTTCTAGGCGTTAAATTCTTTTTACAAATTTTTCGGTTAAATTTCGATTACACAATGCACTAGTTGTAAAAACGATATTTTTTCTTTGAATATAGTTTAACATTAATTAGATTCAAAAAAAAAAAAAAATACATGTTATAGGTACAAGCATAATATATGTATTAGGCTGTGGATATTAATGGTTGGTAAATCCATACTCATACATATGTCTTTTAGACCAAATCTTGGTCTTCCTACAAATCCCTTTTACGAAAACCGATGTTGTTATGTCTCTTAACTTTAATTGATAGGGATATCATGGGCTACGCATTGTCCGGCCAAATCTATGCTTTTACATGGTCACTATGTTCCGTTAGAGAGAATGTTTTATTTTTCAATTTTCTAAAGTTATATAAAAAAATGTGCATGTGTTTTCTTCTACGATCATGTTAGAGATTGAAACAGATTTGTTTACATAAAGAATTATGAATCTAACCATTTGATGATAGTTACGTACGTACCTCGAGGAATGTTTTTAGCCTAGTATTTGATTAGCATAAAGATTTTTTGAAGTTTTCAAACTAGTTATATATATACCTTGAAATATGCTATATATACAAGGGGATTTAACAAAATAAATCTTGGAATATGCGCAAGAGGAGATGACGACAAAATGATAATTTAACTAACTTAATCCCTTAGGTTGAGAAGCTTGAGTCGGCTCATGGGTATCAAGTACAATGCTATGTGCATGTAGGTTGTATAACTATTGAAAGTTTATGTTACACCTTTACTAAACGAGTGGATCATTATTGCTATATATACAATGTTTTTTTTTTTCACATTTGCTATCATCATAAACTTAAGATATTGAACCGTGATGGGTTTTATTAAACATTACATCGATCGTCCAACCAATGAATCCAGCAATCATATTTTCAAAATTACAAAACCTTAACTAGCTAGTACTACATGCAAGAAATTTTTTAAAATAAGTAAAGCAAAAGTCATTGAACCATGTGCTACAGAGAGACACATAGATATTTGTGGACCTCGGCTCCTCAGTCCTTACAAAGAAAAATGTGGTCCAAGAAATGATTAATCATAAATAATTATGTAGTAAGAATTATTCTAGTTTTCTTCACCCAACATTTTGGAGAATATAATACTGAGAGGAAACAAAACTACATAAAAACAAAATTTTAAAAATGAAAAGAAAATAGAGAAAAACTATATACTAGTATTACTTGTCACACTAATTAGGACCATCGTGAGTGGTGGGATTCACGCGAGTAGTAGAAAATATATTGACTAAGTTTCGAAGAGGTGAAGGTGGGTTCCATGTGGTGATCGACGACAACTCAAGAAGAATGGTGACACACAAAAGAAGAGGTCGAGGACACATGAAGATGGCTGTTACTTGTTGTGTGCCTCTCAGAAATGAACGTCTTCGTACAAAACAAACCAATTCTGATACAACATCATAGTAGTACGGTCCTCGATCACACTTCTCATCATTTCTACAGAAACCAACAAAGACAAATTTATATGTTTGGCTAGTTGTGTTAATTACGGCACAAATGTTGTTATTTATTTTCTTATAAACCCTAATTAAGGATGTTAATAGTTTGTTTTGTATAAGAAAAGTTTTGTATAAATGCAAGAACCATGTATGCTGATGTTACATCACGACCACATTCGTGTTTCCAATATGATGAAATGTAATATTTTTCTCGATCATAGGGTACTAACTATGTTTGGTAGTTTTTAAACAATCTTTCCCACATCATCACATGTAATGTACTCAACATATATATCAACATGTTTTTGTAAGTTTACGGAAGTAATGGAACACATAGTTATTCGTAAAGTGAAAGGATCATGTATCTCTATATCACAATTATATATATAGTGGTTAATATGATAATTAAATTAGAGACAACTAACAAAAAAATAATATAGTTGTAAATCAGAGAAGTAGGCATGATAAATCTTTTTTTTTTTAAAAACGGCTTAATAGTTTACATCTCATGCTCTGAGTTGGATCACGTTATTCCCTCTTTATCAAAAAAAAAATAAAAATAAAAAATAAATTGATTAAATAGTAACGTATTAAAAATGATACAATATAAAAGTATTGAAGCCACCAAATTGTCTTAGCTAGCTTTACTTCGACATTCTTTTCTATATATAGTGAGATAAGATGCTTGGCTTTTTCTTTATCTCTACTCTCTTTTTATCTCTCTCTCTCTCTCGCTTTATCTCATTCTCAATCTTCTCTACGTTTCAAAGAAAGCTTCATCAACTAGTTGAGACATGGATTATTCTTCTATGCACCAGGTACTACTAACTTACATCACATTATAATGACTATGTTGTTATAGAGAATTGAGTTTTGATTTTTTTCTTTTTATGTATAAAGAATGTGGTGGGAGTATCTTCTTGTTCATCACAAGATTATCAGAACAACCAGAAGAAACCATCTCAGGCGACTAGGCCAGCTCCACCGGAGCAATCACTGAGGTGCCCTCGTTGTGACTCAACCAACACAAAGTTCTGTTACTACAACAACTACAGTCTCTCTCAGCCTCGCTACTTCTGCAAATCTTGTCGGAGATATTGGACCAAAGGAGGCATTTTAAGAAACATACCAATCGGTGGTGCTTACAGGAAACACAAGCGCTCCACTTCAGCAACCAAAAGCCTCAGAACAACCCCTGAACCAACGACGACACACGACGGGAGAACATTCTCCACAGCGAGTTTCGGCGGTTACAATAACAACATTAACAATGAACAACAGATGGATCTTGGATTAGCATTTGCCTTGCTTAACAAGCAACCTCTAGGGGTTTCTTCACATTTAGGGTTCGGAAGCTCTCAGACCCCAATGAGCATGGATGGCATGTTTGGTACCACAAGCCACCAGATGCAGAACGCAAGTTATGCGTTTGGGAATGGTGGAGGCGGTATGGAGCAGATGGCGACAAGTGATCCGAACAAAGTCTTGTGGGGGTTCCCATGGCAGATGAACATGGGAGGAGGAGGAGGAAGTGGTCATGTTGAACAGAATGATTCAGGGAGAGAGGTTTGGAGCAATACTGTCAACTACATTAACACTGGTGCTTTATTGTAGTCTATCAACTATAATATAAACCATTTTCATTAGTTTTGGGTTTTCTTAGGGTTTGGATTTGGTCTTCTTGATTAGAGAAAGATCATATGAGTTTGGGGTTAATGATGAAGAGATAATAGTTAAGTGTTGCTTTCGTTTAAAGATTTTCAATTACTTGGAAAATGATAATTGTGTTTTTTTTTTTCTTTGTCTCCAATTCAAAACTTCGGATTCTTCGTTTAGAAACTTTTTATCTTTACCATAACATATGGACCAAATAAAAACAAAAATTGTACCAAAGTCGAAAGTAATATTCTCGAAGACCCAAACCAAATGTTTGATTATCTAAATTTGTATGAACATTTTAGAAACTTTTAGTATATTTATATCGGATGTTATAAGCTTTTATATTCTCAGTCGTTTAAAATCACGATGAAATTTGTATATTACATAGTTACTTATACACAAAATTATACTATATATTAGGACGTACGTACCAACCAAATCCAATTGGAAGATTGTGGCGTGACAAAATCCTCGTTAGAATTGAAGAAAATGCCAAAAGTGTTTTATTAAAATATGATAATGTTTTTGAATCCCCAAAAACGGTTTGATTTTGATTTTTGGTGCTATACTGTCCTTTAGTGGTGATGGCTTTTCAAGAAATAATATTTGGAATAGGCACTATAGTGGAAGACTATTTGGAAATTGAACAAATTCTTAGTTCAAGTTTATTTTACTTTGTTTTTTAGTCTATAAAAATGAAAAATACACCGATCATAAAAAGTTCAAACACCACGAAAATGAGTAATAATAATTTAGTATATTATTACTTGCATCAACTTGGTTTGTTTTTTTATATTTGCTCTCGACCTTATTTAACCTTTTAAATTCTATAGTTATTGTCCCTTCGTGTGTAAATCTAACTAATTATGTAAAGAACATAAGCAAATATACAAGAAAAAAAAACGTAAGCAAGTATCCCTAAAATCAATTAGAAACATTCTCAAACTCGACCACTTAATCCTTTTACAATGTTCGTAATAAATTCAAAAATGTTTCTAGCGATGACAATATTTCCTATCTAATAAATATTTTTTAAGATATAAGTATATACGATAAAAGTTAATATGTATGTACAAAACTATACGAAGATCATATTTCGATCGATTAAGAATCATTTTTGAGCCACATGTTGAATGGATGCAATTACACCATCACTAATACACAAGATTCCACAAAAACATTTTGACCAAAAAAGAATGTTAGATAGATATAATAGCAAAAACTGTAAAATTTCAAGTTATTCAATACAATTAAGTACCTGCTAAATCCAAATAATAAAGAATGATTTACGTACTTGCGATTACGGTAGTATCAAATATTGTAGATGAATAATCCACGATCTTTGTTATGTCGAATTATAGTTGAGATCTGAGTGTGACTTCCTGCTAAAACAAACACCGGTTTATAGATTGAGCTATCATATCCTGCAACGAAATCTACATCGAACCAAAAAAAAAAAAAAATCTTGTATCAAATCTAAAACCACAATCGGAAACGTAAATAATTTGAATTAGATTTAAGAGAAATTATAAGAACAAATTCAGTAGGTAAATTGAATACCATTTATGAAATTTAGAAAAACTTATAGATACTAAAATTTTTATTTATTAGAGAGAATAGATTACATAAGCCAGACTTATAACTTTCATAAAGAATCAAAAATCTAAACAAAATTTTCAATCTTACCAAAATTTATCAGATAATTTATAAATAATCAAAAATCTAAATATAATTTAGCAGAAAGAAAAAATATTCTAAACATAATTGGGATATCACCTTTCTTTTTACACCATCTCTGCACACACCTCAAATATATTTATTTTAGAAAAATTGAGCCAATATCACTGCCAAATTAACTAGTTATTGATTAAATAGAAGTTTAAGTGTAAGAACATTAATATTAGACAATTAAATATGTTGTTTAACTATATAAAGTAAAACCATAACATTGGTAATTGTTGGTTCTTGCCCACTCGTGTGTAAATCAAAACTATGAAAACGGTGAAAACTGCGTTGTCCGAATCCACTAGTTTAAGATTTAACAATGTATACATTAAAGAGACAAAATATTATACAGTCTTGGTGAAAATTGTATAATATCCGAATCACAAGCAAAGATATTATTACAAGTTCAACATATTATTCGGTAAATATCCCATCGAAAAAGAAAAGAAATCTAAGAAATAAAATTATTTTAAGACTATAAGCAAGTATACGATTTTTAATCTAGTATTGAACTCTGTTATAAACATCCCATAAATCAATTAGAAAAATTATCAAACTCGACCATTTAACTCTTTTACAATATCCATAAATTTTTAAAAAAGAACATTTTAAGGCGACAAAAAATTACTATCTAATAATATACTTTATTATTTTTTTATATATACAATATAATTAAATATGTATGAAATTAACAAAACTATATAAAGATCATACGTAGATTGACTGAGAATCATTTCTGAGCTACGTGTTGGATAGTTATAATGGATGCGATTATAGCATCATAAACTTTGGCCAGAGGAATTCCTCAAAATACCATCATTTTGGTTTTCTTTCCAAAAATACCACTAAAATCAAATTATTATTCAATGGTATAGAATTTTAAATCTTTGATTTGGGTTGATTATTTGCAATTTAGGGTATAGTATTTAGGGGATAGGGTTTAATGTTTAGAATTTAGAATTTAGAGTTTGAAAATTTAAAATTAATTTTAGTCTTATGGTATTTTTGTCCTAAAAACAAAAATGATGGTATTTTAGAGAATGACCCTAAAATAAATTTGGATGGGTTATAGCCAAAACCTTAAATTTCAACAAAGATTCTAAACCAGCCATGAATATGTTAGTTTTCAAAATTCATACAACTTCAATGATATTGTTTATGTAACCCAATGGGCCTTAGCCCAAGTAAACGAGCTGGATAATAATTCATTCGAGCAAGAAGAAGTCATTCGTCAACGATAGTGCCTCCATGTGGTCCTAATGATTCTATCCAAACAACAAGACCTTTAGATCAAATCACTTCAAATGATACACAAATTCAAAATGTTCAAACTTGTCCTCTATACAGACCAAACTACGAACTTCTAACAATATCAAAATCAACAGTACCAACGCTGAAGTGGATGTGTATCCATTTCAATCCTCTGACTCTGAAATTCATCTTTTTAATATGCAGATCAATAATTAAACTTCATATCATTGATAATTAAACTTCATATCTTATACATTTTCAGTAGTATAATTTCAGAAAAGTACAACTTTTTGGATATATAAATTTTTTTGGATATATATTACTAAAATAGATATGTGTGAATACTTACTATTAGTATAATCAGTTTGGTCGGTGTATCGAGATTTATTTAATTGACTTATTTTTAAGAGAGATGGACGTTAGTGACAACCAGGTTTTGTATGAGTTCCATGCAAATTTTGATTTGAAAACGAATAATTTAACAAAGACTTGGAAAAAAAGAGAATCGATTCCTTTGTATATTGTCGCATTATTCCCCTACACGTAGCCTTATTTTTGTTTTATTTTCTTGAATAATCCAAGTTGTAGTAGTTATTAAGCACCTCTCATCTAATTAGGCAACATAATACATCATACTTATAGTCTAAACTTTAGTGTCATTTAACATATTTATTATGCTTTTGATATATATTTTTGTCTAATTTAGTTCTATCATATTATATTTTTAGTGTTTTATGTTGAAACGGCTAAAATAAATAAAATTATTTTAATTTTAGTTGCGTAGGTAGCGTTAGTGTTAGATACTAAATTACTGATAATTTAGTGCCTAGTGTTTTCTTAAACACTGGACATAAAATATAAATTAATTTGTTGGAGTATTGAATAGTTATAACTCTCTTGAGTATTAAATAATTAAAAGTCTTTGGAGTAACTTACAAAGTAACAAAATTATGACTTCTAATAACAAAATTGGTTGAGCAATATAATTAAAGAAGTTAAGTCATTGGTCATGTGCGCCATACCAAAACATAATTAATGTCAACATGTTACAGTTTAATATTTACAATTGGAAAATTTAGACAAAGCCTGAGAGATTAATCTCCCTATGTCATCAAGATCAATATCAAAAGCATAGTCTAAATTACACAATCTAGTAATCTACCATATAAACCAAATCTCTAGAGAGTTCACTAGCAAGCTGTTAAATGAACTCTAGAGGGTTTCCCCATAAATTTGGTTACTATTATAGCCACTGTATGTATAAGCTAGTTTGGTCTCAAATCCAATCATTGCATTTTGCATTTTCATTCATAAGTAAAATACTATGTAGATAATATCACCAAACCAACCAACCCAAGTGGTGAATATGACTTCATCACCATAAGTAAAATGTTCAACATCATGAATTAATTTAAGTAATTACAAAAACAAAATCTTTCATAAATATCACTGAGCTACCGACATGGTCACTAATATCAATATGTGGATCTCAAACATTCAAAAATCTAATCCTTCTTCTTTAGCCTCTATATAACTTTCAAAACCTAATAATGAATTTTATTACGATAAAAACGTATCACTTTAACTTTACCTATCTTGTATCTTAGCTTACATATCAACATCATAAAGATAGAAAAAAAATATCGTTTGTTTTTCTCATTCACATTGAAAACATATTTTCTACTAAATAATAAAATAAAATCCCACAAAACTTTTGTAAATTCAAATACATCTGCGTAACGACAAGAAAAGAAACATTTTTTCTTATTTTTCTAGGTAATCAAATGACAATAACACACTAACCAATAGCAAAAACAAACTGTATCGACACGTGTCAAAGCATGTGCAGATATGTAAACCCATCATGTCTTCACTTCATCATCTTCAACACCATTCCTCTTCTTTAACGCCCTCTCTGCATTTTTCAGAGTCTTTTTGCACAAGAAACAAAGCTCAAGACCACAAACTCAAAGTTCAAGAAAGCTCAAGAACCACGAAAAAAAAGCTATGAGAACAAGTAACCATCTCATAGGTCTAGTCAACTTCCTCACGTTCCTCCTCTCGATCCCTATCCTCGGCGGTGGGATATGGCTAAGCAGCCGAGCTAACTCCACTGACTGTTTAAGATTCCTTCAGTGGCCACTCATAGTCATAGGAATCTCAATCATGGTCGTGTCTTTAGCAGGGTTCGCTGGAGCTTGTTACCGTAACAAGTTCCTCATGTGGCTATACCTAGTCGTCATGCTCCTCATCATAGCCGCACTCATAGGTTTCATCATCTTCGCTTACGCGGTTACTGATAAAGGATCCGGTCGAACCGTTCTTAACCGGGGTTATCTTGACTACTATCTTCAAGATTACTCTGGTTGGTTGAAAGATCGAGTCTCTGATGATGGTTATTGGGGTAAGATCAGTTCTTGTCTTAGAGATTCTGGAGCTTGTAGAAAGATCGGAAGAAACTTAAATGGTGTCCCTGAAACTGCTGATATGTTCTTCCTTAGAAGACTTAGCCCTGTTGAGGTAACTTCTTTTTATTACATAATACATATTAATATGAGCCTTGTTGTGTTACTTTGTTAGTTTAGAATCAAATCTAGTGATGTTCTTTGTTTAATCTTGGATTTTGGGATATTCAGATTCAAAAGTTTTAAGAAATGTTTCTTTTCTTTTTTTGGGGACAAGCTTTAAGTGTTATTTTCTTGAAATAAAAGTTTTGGTCCTCCATGTGTTCAAGACCCATATGACGAGAGACTCAATTATTGAACAAGATAAAAAAAAATTTTATTTATGATAAACTTAGTTGACTATATGAGTATTGAGTCTAGATCTGATTCAGCTTTGCCTCTAGCTTACTCCATCAAAAACTAAAAATAATAAAGTGTAGAAAATTTTAGTTTATTTATTGATGGAATTTTTTTTTTTGGACAAACTAAGGTTGTGTGTAAGTGTAAAATAAGGTATGATTGATTCCTTGAACAATGATTTGATGTAGTAAGCTTCGATTCTTATTTTTTGCCAGAGATATATCTGCAAATTTTATGTCTGGCCTTTGCAGGTTTGTTTTTATATGTTAGTAAAATATATTATAAGCTTTTGGACCGACCCCAAAAAAGTATATAACTTTTTGGAAAACAATTATTACTTTGTTGTATTTTTGAAATATTTTGTTCTATTAAAGTAGACAAAATATGTGCTCATTATTCCTAGCTTTACACGTGAGTAGCCAAAACCATGATGAATATGCATGGAACGTTTTAAAGTGTAGTTGTTCAAGTACTCCTTTGTTTTGTCATATAAATCATGAACCTAGAATGCTCTGTTTTGTTTGTTTTCCATTCTTTATATTCATAATGATTTATGGTAGTAGATCTCTATACTTGTCAAAGTGCTTTGTGATGAGTTATAGCTAAAGAGTGATTAATATTGTGGTTAATGATATGTATTTGTTGTTACTTTGCAGTCCGGTTGTTGCAAGCCACCAACAGATTGTGGATTTTCATATGTGAACGAGACGGGTTGGGACACGAGAGGAGGGATGGCAGGACCAAACTCGGACTGTATGTTGTGGAGCAATGACCAGAGCATGCTTTGTTATCAGTGTAGCTCTTGTAAAGCTGGTGTTCTTGGGAGCATAAAGAAGAGTTGGAGAAAAGTATCGGTGATTAACATCGTGGTACTAATCATTCTCGTTATCTTCTATGTTATTGCTTATGCGGCTTATAGGAATGTCAAGAGGATGGATAATGATGAGCCGGCTGGTGAAGCAAGGATGACTAAGTCACATCCTAGTCATTTCCACCTTTGATCAAAAATTTGGTATAGTTCTTCGTTAAATGGTAATGCAAAAATCTGATGAGGAACAAGATTTGATTTATGTTTGTCACTGGCTTGTGGTAAAGTCTCCTAGCAACTTTTTGTGTTTTGTTTTTGATATATGTAACACATTATTTTTGTTTGTGTATATTATTTATGTTGGAATCAGAAGCTCTCTAGTCTATTTTATATCTTCCTCTAGAAATGAGTAAAATATTTGTAAGACTCATAACTCCTAAGCATAATCATGTTCTGGTTTCATCTTCACGGGTAAGTTCTGGACTCCATCTACGAATTGTTTGCTCTTCCACTGTGTAGTCTTCTAAACACAAAGATAGGTTCATGTTCTCTGTATCAACTTTTCCATTGACGTCAAGAATCAACAATGTTTTCACGAGGCGACAACACCTTAAACCGATCATTCTCTGCCAATGGACTGAACCAGAACAGCGTAGTGAGAGTGGACAAGAGATGGATGATGTCTATATCACACCACGAAATCAGCTCCATATAGTAACCATGATCTCACAATCCAGTTCTTTGATCGTAGAGGCGAAACAAGATCGCAAAACTTGCCTTAGAGAATCTCATGGATCGCCATAGATCTAACTCATCTTCCAAGGAACAACAGTGAAGAAAGATCTGCAGTTGAGTTTGTCGCGCAAAAAGAAAGCTTCTTCAAAAGACAATTGAATCCATCTCTCATCTTATATTTCTAGGTACTAACAATAGGTCTACCAAAACAACCACCGTCCAATAGATCAGCTTGCTCTGGCTCAACAGATCAAGCTGAGAAGAAGCCATCAAGCCAAGGCCTCAGTTCGAAACAGGTTCTGTAAGTGCCATTGCCTCAGCACCTTTCCATTTCCACCTTGAGACCATGTAGATGGGTCTCTCTACACACACAAGAAAAGATCAACCTTCTCATAAAGTTTCCCTAACCAAAACAAGAATATTCACTGCTTCTGCTAAATTCTAATGACCAGAACCAACAAGCTAGATGAATCTGGTGCATGAACTCAAACAATTATTAAAATTGAACTCATCATTTAAAGCTCAAGATTGTACACATTCAACATAAAACATACTGAATTACAGAAGACAACAACTCTCTCAAGCATTTCGTCGAACACCTTCTGCTCACTAAAATATTTTGCTCAAACTACATTAAAAGTATCAAATTATCTCCGTAATCTATCATTCAAACCAAATCAGTGGAAGTACAGATCCTAACATCATGAAGGAGAAAACTAAAACTTAAAATTCCAGAATCCATATTATTGTTTCGTTCTTCATTAGCCAATTTCGTTAAGAGGAAGAAGAAGAAGAATAAAACCCATGTTATTTTTAAAATACCCATATTATTTTCTAAATTTATTAATTAGTCCCCGAGGACGATGTTGTCTTTTTCACTTTAAATAAAAAACCAAACTGAACACACTCTCTCAGACATTTCGTCGAACAGCTTCAGTTCACTTTAAAGAACATCACTGTTAAACTTCAACAGCGACGTCTTCGCTCTCATCAAAAGTTCCTCCACCATTGAAGCTCAAGCTTCAAGTTTCAGAACTCAGGTACTCTCTTATAATACTCTCCTCGATTTTTTGCTTTTAGAAACCAACTTTTATAGTTTTGTAATTTTGTAACATTCCTATTCTTCTTATTGAGTTATTAAACTTTAATATATTGATTTTTATATGAATTCTTATGGTCGAATCGTAGATGGATTGAATTTAGTAAAGTTGCTATACACTCGATTTATAGATCTGGTGCAACTAGTATTATTACTAAGACAGTGTTACATAATTATATGCTAATGTGTGTTTTTTTATTAGGGGAAAATGAATAATAATGATTACACAATCATATTTTTTGATTATGGTGGTTATTATTCAAAGGACGGTTATGAAGAACGATGGATTTCAAGAAGACATCAACTGTATAGTTTGCTGATTAAGAAACCTAAAAAGGAGGTTGTTGGGATAAGCTTGAAGAAGAACACTTAGGAGACAAGTTACCTTTTCCTAGTTGAGTTATGACTTAGGAATTGGATTGTGTTTAGGAGTTATCTAGATACAATTCCTATTAGAATAAGGTGTTATCTCTTCTCTATATATATGAGTTATCAAAGTTGTGGTAACCTTAAGAGATTAGAGAGAGATTAAGAGTTTTAGAAGCTTAAGTTTTGAGTTATTTTCTTAAGCAAATAAAGAGAGTTATTCTTTAAATTCTTAGAATTCATAATCTTTCTCAAGTCTAGATTTGGTATCAGAGCTTGACGATTTTGGTTTTACACACACACTACCGATCATCACAACATGAGTGAGATCGTTCCAACAAGCAACAAGAAGAAGGCTGTCCCCTCTTCTATTCAATGTCCGATGCTAAATAGTACCAACTATACTGCTTGGGCAATGAAGATGAGGTTGCTGTTGCGTGTCCATAAGGTATGGGATACGATTGATCCTGGATCCACTGATATTGATAAAAACGACCTAGCTAGTGCCCTTATTTTTCAATCGGTCTCGGAGTCTCTTATGCTGCAACTTGGGAACTTAGATACCGCTAAGGCTGTATGGGATGCAATTAAAACACGCAATCTTGGAGCAGAAAGAGTAAAAGAAGCACGACTCCAAAGTCTTATGATCGAGTTTGATCGATTGACGATGAAGGAGACAGACACCATTGATGACTTTGTTGGCAAGCTTTCTGAAATTTCTTCTAAAGCAACAACTCTTGGGGAGAGCATTGAAGAAACCAAGATTGTTAAGAAATTTCTTAAAAGCTTACCAATGCAGAAGTACATACATATTTCAGCCACCCTTGAACAAGTTTTGGACCTCAAAACAACATCTTTTGAGGATATAATTGGGAGAATCAAAACTTATGAGGAACGGATAAGTGCTGCAGAGGTGGTACAAGAGAGTCAAGGCAAGCTTATGTATGCAAACTCAGATAATTCATCATCCGGTCATGATCAAGAAGGAGGTCAAGGCAGAGGTCGTGGGGGTTATCGAGGCAGAGGACGAGGTCGAGGAAGGACAAACTATCAACGTGATACATCCAAAGTAACGTGCTATCGATGCGACAAGTTAGGACACTATGCGTCTAATTGTCCGGATCGCTTGCTCAAGTTAATCAAAGCTCAAGAAGACCAAGAGAAAGCAGAGGATGATACACATGAGGCTGAATCACTAATGATGCACGAGGTGGTGTTTCTCAATGAGAAAAATGTGATTCCAAAAGACTTTAAGACATCCTCGGACAAAGTATGGTACTTAGACAATGGTGCGAGTAACCATATGTCGGGGAATCATGCTTGGTTCAACATGATAGACACAACAATCACGGGTAAAGTACGCTTTGGAGATGATTCTCGTGTTGACATCAAAGGGAAAGGGTCAATTTTGCTTGTAACCAAAGGAGGAAAACGCAAAATTCTAGAGGATGTCTACTATATACCCGATCTCAAGAGTAACATCATTAGCTTGGGGCAAGCTACGGAATCCGGGTGTGATGTTAGGATGAGAGAAGACTACTTGACTGTACACGATCGAGAAGGAAACTTATTGGTTCGAGCCATTCGAGCAAGGAATCGGCTATACAAGGTGGATTTGGAGGTGGAACATATAAAATCAAAATGTCTTCAACTTGTTTCTTCTCCCACGATAGCTCCTTGGCATGCTAGATTAGGACATATTAGTTCTCAAACCATACACTCTATGGTGACCAAAGAACTGGTAGTCGGAATATCTCGCATGACAAAAGCTACGGAACCTTGTTCATCATGTTTACTTGGAAAACAAGCAAGACATGTATTCCCCAAATTCACTTCCTATCGTGCATCAAAAGTCTTGGAGCTTGTTCATGGAGACTTGTGTGGACCAATTACACCTTCCACAGCTGCGCATAAGAGGTACATTTTTGTCTTAATCGATGATCATTCACGTTACATGTGGTCCATTCTTTTGCAAGAGAAAAGTGAAGCATTCGAGAAATTTAAGATCTTCAAAGCACGAGTGGAGCAAGAAACAGGAACTTCAATCACCACTTTTCGCACAGACCGAGGAGGAGAATTCGTGTCCTTGGAGTTTCAAAATTTTTGTGAAGAAAATGGTATCACTCGACATCTCACTGCTCCATATACTCCTCAACAAAATGGAGTAGTAGAGAGGAGGAATAGAACACTTCTAGAGATGACACGAAGCATCTTAAAGCACATGACCATGCCTAATTATTTATGGGGAGAAGCTGTGAGGCATGCAACATACATCATCAACCGTGTAGGAACAAGATCCTTAGCTAACCAAACTCCGTATGAAGCATTTAAAGAACCGGGATCTAAGGCGTATCGACTTTTGGATCCAACACATCGAAAGATTATAGTAAGCAGGGATGTTGTGTTTGATGAAACAAAGAGATGGAAGTGGAGTATTTCAGAAGATCTTTCTATGGAATCAGGAACGTTTATTCTAAACTTTGGGAACTTTGGAAATCACGGTCTCGACAGAGGAGAAGAAACAGAGGAAATAGAAGAAAATAGAGAGATCAATGAAAACAGAGAGCTTGGTGACCCACGAGATAATGAAACAGAACAAGAGAGTGTAAATGAGTCTGAGCAAGATTATGAGGAAGAGCAAGTACAGCCACAAACGGCAGCACCGGAGTTAAGAAGATCACAAAGACAAGTCAAATTGCCCGGGTATCTCAGTGACTTTGTGCTTCTAGCAGAAATAGAAGGAGAACATCTCTTGTTGTCAATGAATGAAGAACCATGGGACTTTAATGAAGCTAATCAACTAAAAGTATGGAAAGATGCTTGCGAAGAGGAGATTGTGTCTATCACAAAGAATAAAACGTGGAGCTTAGTAGATCTTCCCATTGGAGCT